CCACCCTCGTCTCTCTGCTTTGGTTTATATTCAGACACAAAAACCAAAAAGAGAAAAACAAAACACTGTCATTCACAACGATGTAAACGTGTGTCCTCTGTCAAGTGTCCATCTCCCCACGCCCTCCCCCCCCAACTCCAGCAACCCCCCAACTTCCTATTTCGCTACCTGTCCTTGGACTTTCGGCTCACACCTGCAGCCTCGTTTCCGGGTGTTGATGAGTGCCGAGGTAAGAAGATCTCCGGTCTTCTTGCATTTAAACAGCTCACAGCCGCTGGGCAGCGCCTTTTATTACAAGTAACCAATGCGCATTCACGGAACGCAGGCCCATATTGACATTATCAGGCTTGAGACAAAATTAGACATGTTGTCAGGTGCTCCGAATGGAAATGTCAGATGCGACCTTTTAAACGACTCTATGCCACTCAGCTTCTCTGTGTTTCTGCTCTCACAGAAGAGGTGGTGGGGCATTAATGGACCGTGAGTCAGAAAACCCGAAATATCTCACCACACGCTTCCTGGTGGTAAGACCATAGGCAACTTACTTAGTCTCTTTCAGAGAGACAGAAACAGAGAATGAGGGGCAGGGAGAGAAAAACACTACATTACAGTTAAGTTCTGCTTGCTTTTGGAATGGCAGAAATGTAGAACACAGAAACCACGTTACGGTTAGACCTCACCAACCTCATGCTCCCACAAGCCCCTTGGAGCGGTCATGGCACAAATGAATAAATAAATAAATAAATAGAAGAGGAAAAGCAAATCCGACAATCTATATGAAAGATGCTTATTAAGCAACAAGAAACAGAAGGGGAGGTTCTACTTTGGGACTTCAAACTGAAAGGGGAAGAAACACATTTGTACGTAGGAGTCAATCTCGCTAGTCTCCTCAAAATCAGTTCACCTTGGTCTCCAACCAGCAGAATTCAACAGCAGGTTCCTTTCTTTATTTTTTTCCCCTTCCCTTTATCTTATTATCGGTCGGCAGGGGCCTCTCTCGGGTGACAAGACCACGCTAGGTTGTCAGGCCCCACAGTGTGGCTTCTGTGAGCAGATTGGCTTTTCATAGCATCGGCTCATTGGGACCTGGAGATGGATGCTATTTTCCCCCTGCCCAGGTAAACGGCTCGGCATTGCCCTTGTCTGGAGAGAGATGCCTGTGTCCCCTTCCCCCACAGGGGGTCATTGTTGCTAAAGAAAACAAGTCCCCTGCCATAGCATCGATTCCAATTCATGGGGACTCTATGGGGCAGAGCAGAACTGCTCCTCGGGGTTTCTGAGACTGCAGTTCTTTCTGGGAGCAGCCAGCCTCATCTTTCTCCCTCAGAGTGGTGGGTGGTTTGAACCACGGGCCTTGTGGTTAGTAGTCCCATGCTTAGCCCGTTGTGCCACCGACTCCTTCTTCTCCATGGGGGTCTAAGAATGACTACTGGAAATTTGCTTCCTGACACCCAGTCTCCCCAGCTCCACGGTCAACCCTGTGGCAAGTCTTTCATGACAAACAACCATGGTACACATTTCTCATCGAGGGAAGCAGAATTGTAGTGGACAGTTAAGCCAGTGGTAAGGGGACGGGGTCTAGCCATGGCCACAGTCCATAGCAACAGAAACACCTGCCATAGGAAGGAGTGGCTTCTAGTTACAGGTGTGAAAGTGGTCTGGGAAAGAATCTTAAGGGCGTGGACTCGGTCTATAACAGTTGATATCCAAAGGAACTTAGTTGCATTGATGCTGCTCGCTGCATGGCCAGCAGTTTGGCTCCATCAGTCCATCTGAAGGAGAAAGATGAGGCTGTCTGCTCACGGAAGGATTTACAGCCTTGGAAACCCAAAGGGGCAGTTCAGCCATGTCCTACTCCTATAGGGTTACTATCAGTCGGAATTGATAGCAATGGATTGGAGGTGGGCTGAAAAGTAGAAAGCATATTAGCCTTTGAGAATGTAAGCTCCCTGGGGGTCAGAAAGTAAACAGTAGCAACTAATGGAAAACATTTGGGAGAATATTATGAAGGGTTCCCTAGGCTCCAGCTTATTTGGATGAGAGAGAGAGAGAGATACCCTTGAACAAAAGACCAAGAAGGAAGGTGAAATGCAAGGGCTAGCTTAAATCCTGAGCGGTGCTTCCAACGCACTGCATTATCTCTGTAAACACACAACAAGAATCCAGTAAAACCAGCTGTGGTTGAATCGATCCCAGCTGATGGAGCTCTCCTGGGTTTCAGTCACAGTTAGCTCCATAGGGCTTTCAGTGGCTGTAGTCTTTCAAAAGGAGATTGTCAGGATTGCCTGCAGGGCTTCCGACCACCAACCTTTTGGATATGAGCCAAGTCCTTCACCCAGGAACTCCATAACAGGCATAGACCCTCTGCCACCGAGTTAATTTCGAGTCAGAGACACCTCCCAGGAGGGTTTCCAAGTCTGTAAATCTGTAAAGGATCAGATAGCCTCATCCTTCTCCTGCAAAGCGGCTAGTGGATTTGAACCGCAGACCTTGTAGTAGCAGTCCAACGCTCACTTACCAGCACTACCAGGGCCTTTCTTTAGCGCACTATTGCTATGGAAATGGCAGGAGAAAGAAATCTAGGTGGTGAGAAGTAGGCAGTACTCAAAGGGTCGTCATTAAACCAGAAGGCAAAGACTGGGTCCCTTGTAAGTGACACGGAAGCAACATAGATCTCTTTTTGCGATCGAGAGTTGAGCCTGGGAATAGACAGTGGCTGCAGTCACACATGGGAGAGCCTCACCAGACATGACAATACACTGCACCATGGGCACTCAGACATGACAATACACTGCACCATGGGCACTCAGATTCCGGCCAAGGTCCGCAGACACATGGGTGCTATTTTAATCTACAAAAACCAATTTACCGCACACCTATTATGTGCTTGGGTACTGTGCACACATTGTGTTATTTAATCCTGGTAATGCCATGGGCTTCCGTACTCGTTACTAACTGCGAGGTGAGCAGTTGAAGCCGACTAGCTGCTGGGGGGAGAAGAAGCGACCCCTGCTCCTACATGAGTCAGAATAAACTCTGTGGCACAGGGTTGATCCCTTCAAAGATTACACACGTGGACACTCTGTGGGGGCAGCTGTAGACTGTCCTACAGGGTCTCTGCGAGTTGGAATTGGCTCCATGGCAGTGGGTTGGGTTGGGGTAACTCCATGGGCTAAAAAGGAGCCCTGATGGCATAGTGGGTCAAGTTTGGCTGTTCAAATCCACCAGTCACTTTTTGAGAGGAAGACAAGGTAGTCGTTTCCATAAAGAGTGACAGCATTACAAACCCACAGAGCAGTTCTACTCCGTCCTACAGGTTACTACGGGTAAAAATAGGTTCAACAACCATGGATATGAGAAACAGAGACTCAGAGAGGTTGAGTAAACGGTTCAATCTTTTCCAGAGACTAAATGGCAGTGCCAGTATTTGAAGTCGAAACCTAATAGATAGGAATCTGAATTCTAGAGCTCAAAAGGACACGCAGAGCTGGCTTCCGTAACTTGCGAATTAAAAGACACATTAGCTATGTACAGTTCTATATATGCAAATCTCTCTCTGTTTTTAAGCTCTCTCTGTTTCTAGAGTCGGGATTCAAATTCACCAACACCTACAGCAAGCATCGACGAGTGGGTTAGCCTTGGGCTGCGAACCCAAAGGAGCTGACGGAGGAAGAGGAGGCTGTCTGCTCCTGCCAAGATTTACAATCTCAGACATCTTAGGGGCAGTTGTACTCTGTCCTACCGCGTGGCTAGGTGTTGGAGTTTACCATAACAGTGGTCTGGATATTCTTTGTTTGGGTTTTGTTTTTAGGGGTCAACATCCCTTCTTGGAATTGGGAAGAAATACGATGTGGCTCCTATGGAAGGCTCAGAAACAGAATAACCCAAGAGGCTGAGTGTGTCAAAGGGGCAGGAGCTTTGCTCCCGCTCATACAATTACTTGACCGATAAGAGTCCAGCAAGAACCTGAAACAGATGCGGGAAAGGTAGGAAGCAGGGTCTCATGCCCACAAAGCACAATTCCTTATTACCATGGCTCATCGGGCACCTGGGCTGAACCAGGTAAGCATGACGTTGGCGTTTTCATTTTCTTTTAAGAATCATTTCAGAAGAACTCTAGTAAAACTGGACCAAGCAGGGTTGAAAAAGACAGCAAGCGTTTTCTGACAGAAAATGGAGGGAATGACCCAAAGATAAGACAATTATATACCTATGGATTTACTGTCCTACTTTTAACTAGATACAATGGTGAACATTAAAAACACAACAAAACAACCAAAAACCACCCTCAAGCTCTCTGCCATCGGATTGACTCTGACTCATCGTGACCCTGGAGGGCAGAGACGAACTGCCCTGTGGGTTTCCGTAGCTGGAAATCTTGGCAGGAGTAGAAGCCTCGTCTTTTTCTAGAAGAGTGGCTTGTAACCCACTATGGTGCCAGGGCTCTACACTGGGTGGGTAGGCTTATATATTTCTGTGCTGACCCTTGCCCTCATTACACTGTAAAGCCAGAGAATTACACTGTGAAACCCGCTAAAGCTGGAACCTGTGGAAAGTGGAAACCTGTCGCAGACGGAAACCGTCAGTACAGGTGTCCCCTAGGAAAACAAGCCAGAGCAAAGTGATCCAGCCTGCGTCTGCTCAAAGGCAGGGAGCAAGCTTTGAGACCCAGAAAAGTGAGGCTCCCTCGAGTCTCACCGTGTCTACCACACTCGTCAAAGACTGGAGCCGAACAGAGGGTTTGAAGATTAAGTTAGGGCGACAAGCGTCTTTGCCATCCACGCCTGTGAACGAGAGAGGCGCACCCTGCTTCGGTACAGCAGTACGGAGAAGGGAGCAAAGGGTGCTATTCAGAGCACACCACGGACTACACACTTCCCATCCGACACAGCTGCTGTGGTGGGGGTGGGGGTGGGGGTCTAGAATCTGGAAAAACAACAGTTGGGAGCACTACCTACCCTCCCCTAGGCCCCCCTCCCTCCCCAAGTTCCGGCCTTTACCTTCCACGGGGGAGGTTTTCAGTCTACTGCAGAAATTCTGCACGTCCCCATAGCGGTTTCGGATCTGGGTGATTGCATCCGTGGAACGCAGCTCCATGAGCTTCCTCAGCTCCATGAGCGTGACGCCAAACCCCCCTTCCTGGCTGCCGGCCATGGAGTTGGCCACCAAGGCATGTTCTGCCCGGGTCGTCATTCTGTCTGCGGTTACCGGGCCCCTCACCCAGGGAGGGAGGGCAGTTGCCCTTCAACGGATGGGGCTCTCTGGCCTGCCCGCTCCCACTTCTCTCTCTCGCCTCTCCGGGGACGCGGTTAGGGGTCCGACTGGCTCTGTTTTGTGCTGTCCGCTTCTGGGCAGCAGCCCCAGGCCCAGCTCCTGTCGAGGAGGAAGAGAATGGGGGAAGGGAATGGAAGGCGGGCGTGTGTCACGACGATTGGCCTCCCCGGGGGGTTGTGGGCGTGCTGTCCAGGGCAGGTGGGTTCCTAGTTCAGATGGCCTGGGTCATTTGGAGGCGTCAACAGGATGTCCATGTTACTATGCAGTCAATCTTGGCAATCACCAGCGACGGCAGTGGCAGCCAGGCGACAGGACATGGGGGGGCGGTAGAGGAGGGCTCCCTGGATACCGATGACAACTGGATCTCTGGAGGAAAAAAAAGAAACAAAGATTCAAATATAGACAAAAACAAACAACTAGAACAGCCACGGGGACCCAGCGTCTGTGAGGACAAGAGGTACCCTGCGTGACCACAAGGGCTTAAATGACAGTTGATGCCTGTCCTGAACTGGTTACTGAGGCCTGCGCCATGAGAAGTGGTTCAGGACAGGCCTTTCCTTCGCTGGGGGTGGGGGGAGCTCCCGCCCTCAGCCTGTGAGCCCCAGTGTCAGGATGGGGTGTGATTCTAGATACAGCCCAGGTCTTCTTGTCTTACCTCTCCCAAACTGAGGAAGGCCATGCCCAGTTAGGACACTTGGCATGCAAAGTTCTGCTTCCTCATGCACTCTCTCGCTCTCCTTTTAAAATCATTTCATCGGGGGCTCGTCCAACTCTTATCACAACCCATCCATCCATTGTGTCAAGCACATTTGTTGCCATCATCATTCGCAAAACATTTGCTTTCTACTTGAGCCCTTGGTATCACTCCTCATTTTTACCCCTCCCTCCCTAACCCTCCCTCAGGAACTCTTGATGATTTATTATTATTTTGTCATGTCTTACGCTGGCCGACGTCTCCCTTCACCCACTTTTCTGTTGTCCATCCCCCAAGGAGTGGGTTATATGTAGATCCTTGTAATCAGTTCCCACTTTCTACTCCACCCTCCGGTATTGCCACTCTCACCATTGGTCCTGAGGGGATCATCTGTCCTGGACTCCCTGTGTTTCCAATTCCTACCTATACCAGTGTACATCCTCTGGTCTAGCCAGATTTATAAGGTAGAATTGGGATCAAGATAGTGGGGGGGGGGGCATTTAAGAACTAGAGGAAAGTTGTATGTTTCATCATTGCTATACTGATCCCTACGGTTAGTCTCCTCCCCACGACCCTTCTGTAAGGGGATGTCCAGTTGTCTGCAGATGGGCTTTGAGTCTCCACTCTGCACTCCCCCTCATTCACAATGATATAATTTTTTGTTCTTTGATGCCTGACACCTCATGATCACACAGGCTGGTGTGCTTCTTCCATGTGGGCTTTGTTGCTTCTGAGCTAGATGTCCACTTGTTTACCTTCAAGCTTTTAAGACCCCAGACACTATATCTTTTGATAGCTGGGCACCATCAGCTTTCTTCACCACATTTGCTTATGCACCCACTTTGTCTTCAGCGATCGGGTCGGGGAGGTGAGCATCATGGAATGCTAGTTTAATAGAACAAAGTGTTCTTGCATCGAGGGAGTACTTGAGTGGAGCCTCAGTGTCCATCTGCTACCTTAATACTAAACCTATAAATATACGTACATAGATCTATTTCCCTATCATTAAATATAAAAATATTTACATATGTACATGCCTGTATTTAGACCTCTATAAATGCCCTTTGACTCCTAGTTCTTTCCTCTATTTCCTTTTGAGAAGCCCATCTGTTGGCAGGCGATGCAGGGCCCTCTCATCTGGCTTCTAGGAGGAGAGGAGAGATCAGAAAAGAATCGAGACCCTGAGAAAGAAGGAGGGTGGCTGTGTATCTGCCAGCCCCCCAGCTTCCCTCCCTCCAACATCCTCTCTTCTTCCCAACACTCACAAGCCATGAGGACAACTTGACAAAACGTGTGGAATTCTTCCGAGATCACAGCAGACTCAGCCCCTAGCAGAAGAGTACTTCTGCTGCTGCAGCTGTTTCAAGCAGGTCAAGGCCAAAGTCCAGGCCTTGGCGCTAAGCCCTGCCCCACCCCTCCAAAAGACTTTTGGAGGCAGAAAGGGAATAGAAAATTCTCTGGCAACTGGAGATACAGGGTGGAACCTTTTATTTTATTTTTTAAAATATATATAAAGGAGACAGAGAGCCCTCTGAGGAGGAAAGATAGTGAGTCTGAAACCTATGAGCATTCAAGTTTCTCTGGGGAGGCAAGGATAAGGCAGCCATCCATTCAGAGACAGCCGAGGGCCACCCCGCCCCGATCCCCACAAGGTAAGTGGCAGGACAGTCAGCATCTGAAATGACCAGAGGGTCTTAGAGCCGCTCCACAAATGCATCCGAGAGGCCAACATTTCTTCCCTCAGCGGGGCAGGTGTCCTCCCAGCTCACACAGGCTGACTTAGGGAGGGCAGGGGTGTGTGTAGGGAAGGGGGTGGGAGGATTCCAGTGGGAGAAAGACTTAGCCCAAACCCCGCTCCCAGCTTCAGAGTGGAGCGGCTGGGGGTGAGGCAGGCGCCACTGCCAGGCAGCAGCCATTTAAATACACGAAGCGGGGCTCTTCCAAAGCCTCCCCACGGACCAGAGTTCAGGCACCAGAGGGTGGGGTGGTTGGGAAGCAAACTGTGGTCAGCTTCTCTCTAACACAGAGGTGGCATCCGCCCCCACTTCTAGGAGCTGAGCCACAGGCTAAAGGCTCGACTCTTTTGTCCATTCCTTTCCCCAAATCCGATGTGGCCGTGTGGGTTAGGAATGCCCCGGAGCTAACACAGTGACCAAAGCCCCTGCTGGTTCCAATCAGTCCTGTGCACTGGGACAGAGGTGACATCCCTGCTCCCTTTCCCAGTAAGGCAGCTCTCTCTCCTACCAGAGATCTGTACAAAGGATTACCCAAGCAGGGATTTTCTTTCTCTTCCTCTCCCTCCCTCCATCACTACCCCCACCCCCTCTCGGCTCCCCCTCACCCCTCCTCCTCTTGTAACATCGCACTCCCTCTCTTTCAGACAACTCCCAGGAATCCAGGGACGGAGGCGTGAAAAGAGCCATTTCCTCAGAGAAACCACAGACTGCTCCCCGTCTGCTTCCCTTCAAAGCTTGGAAGGGACGGGAGAGGCTAAAGCAACAGAAGCCCACAATTGACCCTCAAGTGGAACTCTTTAACCTTTCAAGAGGATGTTGGGACCAGTGCTGACAGCAGGGATCAGAGCTGGCTTTTCCCTGTCCACACAGGAGAAGCTCGGCTCCAGGGTTTTAATCTGTTTCGTTCACTGCATGACCCCGTGTGAGGGTTCAGGTTGTTCATGTGTCCACTTGGCTGGGCCATGCTTCTCAGTGGTTTGGCAGTTATGCTATGATGTGATTATCTTGCATGGTGAGATCTTATGCAGTCAGCCAACCAGTAGTAAGGGGTGTTTCCTCAGGGGCGTGGCCTGCCACATACCAAGGGGTGCCCCCCAAAACATAATGAACTCTGCCAGGTGAAGCTTTCAGAGTACATTTTTTCCCCGCAAGGCCAGCATCGAGCACCTCAGAGTTAGTGCACCCAGTGGTGTCACCTGGGAAGGTTCTCTCTCGTCCCAGTGAATTTTTTTGTACAAGCATTTTTGCTCGAACCTCGCTTTTTGTGGTGACTGATTTC